GACGGTTGAATAATCCAGAGGGCAGATACCTTATCTAAGAAACTGAATTTATTTTAGAAACTAACAGAATAACAGAGTCAGAAGAGACCTCAGAGGTCATCTAGTCCAACCCCCTTCTCAGGCAGGAGACCCTATACCATTTCAGACAAATGACTGTCCGGCCTCTTCTTAAAAACTTCCAGTGTTGGAGCATTCACCGCTTCTGGAGGCAGGTTGTTCCACTGGTTAATTGTTCTCACTGTCAGGAAGTTTCTCCTTAGTTCTAGGTTGCTTCTCTCTTTGGTGAGTTTCCACCCGTTGCTTCTTCTCCTGCCTTCAGGGGCTTTGGAGGATAGCTTGACTCCCTCTTCTTTGGGGCAACCCCTGAGATACTGGAAGACTGCTATCATGTCAACCTTAAGTCCTTCTCTTCATTAAACTAGACATACCCAATTCTAGCGATTTCTAGGCTGGTTTTCTCCTTGATCATATCTAATCTGAACTTATCCAAAACTAGAGCTGGGCCTGATCGCTATGCACGGCGGGAAAAGTTATGTGTCTCTCCTTCCATTCTTCCTCTCTTTTCACTTTGGGAAAGTTACACTGACTTATATAGAAGGCGTTGAATCTGGAAGCCCTGGAAGGACAGGCCTTCCATTCAAAGTGAGCTGCTGATTCATAACTGTTATTTCCTGTCCTTGCCTCTTATCTGCTGTTCCCTGCCTTTTTTTTCAATTTCCGCAAACTTTCCTCCTTTATTATCCCAGTTCCAAATCCCTGACAGTAGATAAATTAAACACACACACACACATATATATATCTTCAGCTGAATCTTGGATAAGGAATAAATACTGAAGCCAGAGCTTTACACGGAGCTGAGATGTGCTAAATACAGACTCAGAAAAGCTCTCTCGGACACGTGGAAAATAAAAAGAGGAGAACCGGGATACGGGCTGTGCATAGCGAAGAACGCAAAATGCTAAGAGGGAACAAGGAGAAGACAAAATGTGGTTGTCTTCCACCAACCCAAAGTGGGTCCCACTAGGAAGTTTGAAGGGCACAATTAAGGGGAACTTAAGTACAAGTAGTCCTCCTTTGATGATGGCTCAATGTTACAACGGCACGGAAAAAAGTGACCTGATCAAAGAATGCAATAAGATTTGTCTGGTGTGATCTGTTTTGGACAAACCCATGTTGGCTTTTGGTAATGACTTTGTTTGCCTCTAGGTGTTCGCTGATTCGTTGCTTGATTATTTTTTCCAAGATCTTCCCAGGTATTGAGGTCAGGCTGATTTTTTTATTTATTTATTTTATTTTTCATAATTTATATGCCGCCCTTCTCCCCACGGGACTCAGGGCGGCTCACAGCATATTAAAATAACACAATACAAACAACACACACAACATTTCCCCTATAAAAGCCAATTAAAACCAAATATTTGTAGCTGTGACATTATTAAAATCATTAAAAATTATCCCTATTTAAAATTCACC